ATTTAATATTAAATCAGATATTTAATTATATAAATTAGATTGAAATAATTATTTATCTTATCATATACGCAATAGAATATTTTAATACATACTATTTTCATTTTGTATTTATACGGTTTACAGTTTATAGATTCGTTTTTGTTTAGTCATATTAATTAATTTTGTAGATTACCATTAAATGATTATTTTTGAAATAAATTCGATTTGTCGTTTTTCGAATTATTTCTTTTAATTATTATTTTTGCTTTCAATAGTTTTCAAATATTGTATTTTAAATAAATATTTCTTTTGTGTTTGCACATTTTTGCGGAAAAAAAAGAAATATATAAAATTATAAATATTTTATAGAAACAAGATTATTCAAATAATTATTTTCGATGGTCTGAATTATTTTTGTTATATCCATTATTGTTATTTTTATTTTTTTATTTTTATCGTAGAATAATGAAATTTTTTTGTTATATAAATGAGCGAATATACAAAATTCTTTCAATTTCTTTACAATGAGGATATATATATATTGCTTGTATAAAACTTAATTATTAACAATTAAATCAATTACTTGATTAAATTAATAATTAAAGTAATTCAGGATTTTAATTTGCCTTGCTTGGACGAAATAATGTCGTTCGTCGTTTAATCGCGTTGTGATAACTATTCATTTGACTACGGGGATGAGCAATCTGGATATACAACAAAAGTGTTTATTCAAATTTCAGCAGCATGGAATATAGTTTACGCCGTTTGTATCTTAGTTCCCGACGAGCTCGATCGCGAGTATAGAGTTATTGTTGTCAAAAGTGGAAACGGAGAAATCGACGACGATAATCGATAATGTTTACTTTTCGCCGCGGATGCACTTCTCCTTTTCGGCTCTCCGACAGTAAAATTGCGGCAGAAAACTGCTGCGCACCCTTGTAAAGTTCGCGCATAAAACGAAACGAATTCGTGACAGCGTTCCGTCGGGGTGTACCATTTCAACCCTTCCTCCCCCGGTACCAGATAAATCGTGAAATACGATGATTTCTCGTGTTTCGTTACACGAATCCCCGCGCCGGCGCCGCGTTTCCTTCCGCGCGCGCACGGGACGGACGTTCGGAATATTTTTATTTCATCCCGGGCGACGCGCGAACGTCAGTCAGGGGGATGAGTTGAAAAGAGAGGCCGACCCCAGGCTCTTTTATAAATGATCGCGCGATGTTGTTTCGCCGCACCTCCATTTTTCATGCGAGAATGGGATGTACATTTTGCATCGAGATCATTGTTTTTTTCCCTCCCTCTTCTTCCCCGCCGGTGCATTAAGATGTATTATTCAGGATCGATTATCGATCCACGCCGTTATTTGAATATCGCTGACAAATATCAACAGACATTGTGAAAATAGCACGATTCTATATCGGTCTCTTGATATCGCGCGTATCTAACAGGGTAATCTTCTGATTAGAATCATAGACACGTTCTATTCTACGTTTTTCATCGTTGGGCATAAAATGCGGAAATTCATTCGTTAGCTTAGCACAGAAGTCGGTTGTCGGATGTGTTGGCTGTTGAATTTGAAACCGAATACTACGCTCGCCGAGCTTTTCAATATTTCAGGCTACTTCACGTAGTCGCGCTAAAATAAGAAAGACAGGAACGGCGCGGATTGAATCATTTATTCAACGAATTTTTGCGCAGCTTTCGATATTATTCTTCGCAGCGATGCAAACTTTACTCCGTATGTAGTATGATACGCAGGATTATTTTTTTTCTTTTAGAGATTTACGTGCGATGTTTATGTATTCTCGACGAATTTAGGAGCTATTTATTTTGATACCCGCGTTAACGGTAAAATTGATTCCGCGATGTTGCCAGGATAATTAAATATTAAATTAAATGTCTGTTAAAGCATTTTGCGATTTTTTTAATTCAGAAAAAAATTTAATTATTCGATTTAATTATTACTTAATTGTATATTAAATTAAACGCTAACTGAAAAATATCGCCTATGTCATATATGTAATTTGCTATTTTCAAGCTCGCTCCGGTTTATTAAAATGAACTGTAATCACGGTCGTTAACATCCCGGTCTGACTATATCCGTGCCGTTTAATTGATTCGAAAACTTTCCGACAGTGGGTACGCATTTACCGCCGTCGTTCCGGCGGCGTTGCGTCGTCGATAGTAATTACCGGGGGCCGCAGTAATACACGTTCTCCCTCTCTCTTGTTGCACCCCACAGATGATAGAATGAATAAAACATGCACAATGCCCGTTACTATCCTCTCGCGAGCGTTAACGCTCGATATATTGGAAAGGGTACGTCGTGCTCGCGAGTTATCCGAACGGGCGAGTTTTGTTGTCCGGCAGGAAGAAGGGGGAAGAAATGACTTTTATGGCTGCGTTTAGCGCTCTCATTGTCGGGAAGCCCGAGTATAATCGGGAGACAGCCAGCGGGTGATAGCGTTTAATAAAGTTAATATCATCCTTGCACGCGCGGTTGCAAGAACGGGCTGAGGGTTAATAGCGAGGAGTGAACCGGCATCGTATAAATATCGTTTATATAGGGTGTCTCGGTTGCTCGAAGGATAATTTGAGAAGGGATGATAAGATCGTCTCATTACTCGTTATACACGAGACGTCGTTATTATTTCTCGAGTTTGTTAAAAGCGACGGAAAATTCAAGGATCTCGTTCGCGAATAAATCTTCGCAAAAAAAGGAGAATTTATTGTTTTGTCTTACAGAGCTCTTTAGAAGCGCGGCAGAGGCTGGCCCTCTGGATATCGTAAAGCTTCGCAAGGGAGAGAAGCTCCTCAACATTTCGACCCATCTACCGCCGAATACGCCCGATACGCCCTATGTTCTTCAGGTAAAGTACATTAAAATCAGCCTACATAATTATATTTTTACATCCTGTGTATAATATCTGTTTATTAATAATGTTGACTCGTACGAACGTAATGATGCAGCGTGACTCGTAAATAATTTCTGCGTATCAATGCGACGATAGTCAAATGGATAATGAGTTGCTAGGACACTTATTGTTTTACTTGGGCGATCGGGGGAAAAAAAAAAGATGTGCGTATCAAAATTCTTGCGACGCGAAACGTTGAAATATCGTGTGTCTTAACTTGCGTATTTGTTCAAGTTTATGGTGTAATTTCTTGAATTGTGAACTTTGCACTCGTTCATTTCAAGTAACTCGCTTTTATTGTATTTTCTGTTATTGAATTTAATCACTGATAATTTTTTTTGAAAATATTTTAATAGTTTTTAACAAACAATTCGTGATTTTTGAAAGTTATATAAAAAAGAATTGTTCGTTACACTCGTTTGAAGAAATTCGATGCATGAATTTTGATTCGTGTTTTTTCGTAGCGACTAATTTTTACTGGAACAATTACGTCAAGAAACATGTGCTTCAAGCGAGTATAATACCTCTTGCTTCCGGGTAATGAGCCTTAAATTTGCGTAGCATTATATAATAGCATTACCATAATTAGCTTCATCGCGCGTGTGATGTGTATCAATATTGTCGTTGAAATAATTACTTAATTGTATATTAAATTAAACGCTAACTGAAAAATATCGCCTATGTCATATATGTAGTTTGCTATTTTCAAGCTCGCTCCGGTTTATTAAAATGAACTGCACGGTCGTTAACATCCCGGTCTGACTATATCCGTGCCGTTTAATTGATTCGAAAACTTTCCGACAGTGGGTACGCATTTACCGCCGTCGTTCCGGCGGCGTTGCGTCGTCGATAGTAATTACCGGGGGCCGCAGTAATACACGTTCTCCCTCTCTCTTGTTGCACCCCACAGATGATAGAATGAATAAAACATGCACAATGCCCGTTACTATCCTCTCGCGAGCGTTAACGCTCGATATATTGGAAAGGGTACGTCGTGCTCGCGAGTTATCCGAACGGGCGAGTTTTGTTGTCCGGCAGGAAGAAGGGGGAAGAAATGACTTTTATGGCTGCGTTTAGCGCTCTCATTGTCGGGAAGCCCGAGTATAATCGGGAGACAGCCAGCGGGTGATAGCGTTTAATAAAGTTAATATCATCCTTGCACGCGCGGTTGCAAGAACGGGCTGAGGGTTAATAGCGAGGAGTGAACCGGCATCGTATAAATATCGTTTATATAGGGTGTCTCGGTTGCTCGAAGGATAATTTGAGAAGGGATGATAAGATCGTCTCATTACTCGTTATACACGAGACGTCGTTATTATTTCTCGAGTTTGTTAAAAGCGACGGAAAATTCAAGGATCTCGTTCGCGAATAAATCTTCGCAAAAAAAGGAGAATTTATTGTTTTGTCTTACAGAGCTCTTTAGAAGCGCGGCAGAGGCTGGCCCTCTGGATATCGTAAAGCTTCGCAAGGGAGAGAAGCTCCTCAACATTTCGACCCATCTACCGCCGAATACGCCCGATACGCCCTATGTTCTTCAGGTAAAGTACATTAAAATCAGCCTACATAATTATATTTTTACATCCTGTGTATAATATCTGTTTATTAATAATGTTGACTCGTACGAACGTAATGATGCAGCGTGACTCGTAAATAATTTCTGCGTATCAATGCGACGATAGTCAAATGGATAATGAGTTGCTAGGACACTTATTGTTTTACTTGGGCGATCGGGGGAAAAAAAAAAGATGTGCGTATCAAAATTCTTGCGACGCGAAACGTTGAAATATCGTGTGTCTTAACTTGCGTATTTGTTCAAGTTTATGGTGTAATTTCTTGAATTGTGAACTTTGCACTCGTTCATTTCAAGTAACTCGCTTTTATTGTATTTTCTGTTATTGAATTTAATCACTGATAATTTTTTTTGAAAATATTTTAATAGTTTTTAACAAACAATTCGTGATTTTTGAAAGTTATATAAAAAAGAATTGTTCGTTACACTCGTTTGAAGAAATTCGATGCATGAATTTTGATTCGTGTTTTTTCGTAGCGACTAATTTTTACTGGAACAATTACGTCAAGAAACATGTGCTTCAAGCGAGTATAATACCTCTTGCTTCCGGGTAATGAGCCTTAAATTTGCGTAGCATTATATAATAGCATTACCATAATTAGCTTCATCGCGCGTGTGATGTGTATCAATATTGTCGTTGAAATACATTACGAGTTTATATCGCGAAACTTTGATTATCTCTCTCATACGTTGTCTTTTATCTATATACAACCTTTTACATATTTACGAATACACACATACGCACAAACACATTGATCTCTGCTTGTTAAATTGAGAAAACTTCAAAAGCGTTTTAAAATTACATTAGACGCGCGTTTATAAAATTCTTTTGTTATTTTTTTGTATAAAAATAAAAATTCCGATGCACACCTGTGATAAAAATATTTGAATAACAATTTATGTAATTAATTGTTATTTATTTAAATTTTTTTCTATTTTCACGAAATTAAAATTTGTATTTAATTTTATTTTTAAGATTTCAAATTAACTTTGTTCTAATATTTTATTATTATCATTTTTTTAAATAATATATTAGCAAAATCATAGATTATCGCGAATTATGTATAATTACATATACAGATCGGTGGGCGAAAAAAACGAGATGTTATTTTAAGCGAGATATCAATTTTTTTAGCACGATACACGCGTGTTAGAATACGCAGCGTATATTTTATGTGTTTATGGTAGTTGATTACCCTTTTTTCAAGATCGTTGGTGCGCATCCCGCTTCCACGGGGGTGATCGAAGCGGAGGTGCTTTGGGCCCTGGAGAGGCGCGTGGCAACTCTAGAGCGACAATTGCGAGAGCATCAGGAAGCTTTATACGCCACACCCTCCCTCGCTTTGCGGGAATTGAAACGCCAAGTGGATAGTTTCAAGAACAAATTGGAGAACAACGATCAGTTGAACTGGCTTAGTAAGTACTCGTATATTTAAATACAAAGTGCCTCTGTCATAAATTCCGGACGACCTATTTTAAAGTATTACATCAGTAGCTTTACAAAGGTAATTGTTTTTAATTACTGTAGAGATTCAACGATGATTTTGCTAAATAATTTTGATGTAGAAATGCATTGTGGTTTTAATTGAAAGCGTTTGCGGTGTTTTAACAAAGCATACTTCAAAGATTGATAAAACTAAAATATATTTATTTTCAATTTTCTCTTTATAGAATTTTTTTATAATAAGATAGAAGAGTGATTGATTATTTCGACGATTCTAAATATGGCGATATCGATCAGCTGATTGTTTTAAGACTTAAGAGATGACAAAATTTCCCGATAGACACTTCGTTTTGTCGGAACCCGATTTTTGTAATCGGATTCCGCGGCAACGACCACATAGTATCGAAATAAATGAAATAATTCAGCGAAATGGAAATTCGAGACTAATATCAATTTTACTTTTGACGTAAATGGCGAGCATTAGCGAAATGAAACGCTCTCTCTGGCCGTGCCGTCATTATTCTCTCTCTCGTCGATGATTATATACATGATAATGGTTTCCCCTTTTCTCTCTTTTTCTTTCTCTCTCTTTCTCTCTCTCTCTCTTTCTGTCTCTCTCTCTCTCTCTCTCTCTCTTTCTCTCTCTCTTTCTCTCTAAATCTCTCTTTGGGTCCATTATCATAGCACAGCGCATATATAATAAAGTGTACGCGACTGTTAAAATTGATTTGTTCTTATGGTGCTTTTTTGTGTTCAATTCGAGGGTGAACATTCACGGTGCTGGATCGATATACAAGATCGAAATGGAAAAATTGTGCAATTGTTTCTATTCTTTACGAGATACAAAAAATCTTGATGACATTGCACGCACGGGATCGAAGCGAAATGAAATTGAAGATAAATATATTTGAATTGACGCGCGAGAATTGTCTCAGGCGTCTCTTTTGCTTTTCAATTCGCACTTCTTTGTTATATTATTCTTGCGCTTTTAATTTATTGGATACACATTTAATCCCGTAGTTTTATATTTAGCGTGACATCTCGACTATTTGTTAAAAATGATAAAACTTTGATGATTTTATTTTAAGGAGATTATATAAAAATATGTGGAGTATATATAATGAGCTCGTGTTTTCATGTAAGTTGTTTTTCTCTAAAAACGCGTAATTCTCTTAAAAGCCAAATTATGTATTTTCTATGTTGCCTGGTTAGTTAAATTCTTGGTAATAATTAATCATATTTTTATATTTTAGCGCGCTAAGTGTTAAAATGAAAAATATGCGGGTATTTTTATTTAATGTAATATAAATCGCAAATCCTTTCGACGGCATTCGAAAATATGGAAACGCTTGAAATTTCGATTGTTCCATGCAACTCGATAATCCTATTAGCGGATCGAAAAAGTTATCACGATTCAAGTTAAATATACGAATAATCCTAAATACAATAGAATTAAATACGATCGAGCTTTTTTAATTGCGGTCATTAAATTAATATTGAAGTATCGCTTTTATTGTACATTAAATGATTCGAAAGTAGTTTTAATAATACAAATAATATTAAATAAAAAATTTGAAATATAAATAAATAGAAAAATAGAAAACAATACATGTGATATATGACGAGATCAGGAAGACAATAAGTTAAAATGGATTATGCTAAATTAGATATAAATTTTAATGTCATAAAATGAGAAAAAAAATTTAAATAAATTTTAATTAATTTAAGTTCATGGATTGTTCAAATATTTTCCCGATATTTTAATAAATCTCAAATTTTCGATTTGTCGTAGCATTTAAGGATTAATCTCGAAATGTTCCATTCGATACAATCGCAGCGATAAAAATTTTCTTCTCGATATTTTTCTTCCTGCGCTAACATTCGATGCGAATCGAGATCTACGTTTAGATGCATTGGGATAAGTCGATCATCTCGGTCAAGTATAAAAGTTCCGCGAAAAGTTTTACGGGGCTGGCCGTTCGAAGGCAGATGACGGATATACGAGTGAATAAACAGCGAGGATCGTGCGGCCGCTGAATAAATATTTGTTCATGCAGGGAACTGTTCTAGGTATTTCAGTTATCTTCAGCTTCTAACCGAGCTCATACGCAGGGTGGTTTTCTGCGCATTTTCCGTGGACGAGGAAAACTTTACGATCGGCTATTATATTAATTAATCCTTCCAAAATCATCTTTGCTCAAAATCAATCGCGTGACATTCTTTTATATCGTCGAAACTTGATTCGTAGGAGATTTTGTGACTTGCGCTTTTATTGTGCATTTCTGATTCTCCGCAAAATTTTTATTAAGAGAAAATAGAAAATTTTCTGGAGTAAAAGAGGCCGGTGCGCGCATAAAGCTCAGACTCTCTACATGTAGAAGATAACTCTCAGTGCGTGAAATACTCTTTATAAAATTTTGTCGCGTGACATAAACTGACGCAGAGTTTACGGAGAAAATCGATATTCCTCGTATTCGATGTTTCTTTACGGCTGGTTGTTGTGTCGCAAGCCTCTTACAGTGAAACGTAAAAGTTTTCAGGAGCTTAATTTGGAAATCGCTGTCTTCCGCAGGTCTTTACAAGCAACTTTCGGAGCCCATCTATATGGATTCCTGCCGCAGATTGCAATATCGTCGAAAGAGTGACAGCATGAAGCGGAAAGTTCGGGAGAAGTTCCTCAATATCTGGTGAGTCAATCAATATTATTTCGACTCAATTGACGTAAGATTGTAGGCAACAAATTGTAGGCATCGGTTCGTTTATATATTTATGGTTTTTTATTTAGTATGAACGACACATGTGTGACAAACTCTTACGTCTATACAGAATGAATTGGAAAACGTAGTACAGTCGTAAAAAATGATTTCTTGTTGAAAAAATAAGTTGGAAATTTTTCGTACGAGGTTTTTTTCAGTTTCAAAAAACTAAACGAGAGAGAGAGAGAGAGAGAGATTGTTAGAGATTATTCAAGAGTTTAAATATGAGGTATCAATTTTTTAATTTTCAAAATCAGCTTTCTCGAAAATATGTGAGAAGCCTCGCATATAAAAATTGTATTCTGTACTTTTGTTCGCAAGAGAAATTATTTTTTTCTTGATTGCATTATGTTTGTACTCTATATATAAAATATATAATAATTACATAATAAAGTATATAATAAAAAGAAAACAAACGCGCACATATGAGACAGGATAACAGAAATCCGATAATTTCTTATTTTCTTGCATATCTTCTCGCGAGGGGGACAAGTTCGCGTTTATCAGCGACACAGTGTTAAAAGAATCGACGAGACGCTTATCCCCTATATAGACCGATGTAAATCTTCTCCTAATACCGATATTACGTGGGCAGGATCGGCAATGAGGTGCTTTTGCGCGGGATGTTCGATCGAAATGCCAATATGCCGTTATACTGGATGAGCGGCCATCAGCGGCCGCGATGATTAAGCGGCTGCGATAATCCTATCTATTAAGCAGCAATATGCCGCTGTTTCCAGTTACATTGTTGTACAACGGCGGTTTGATCGACCCGACTCCGAAGATATAATATGAGTTCGCTGCGTTCCCCATGTCATTGTGATAAAACGTCGATGCGCAGCGCGTATCGATCGTTGATCGCGTGCGTAGATAGCAAAAACGCGATCCGACCTCGAAGATTGATTAGCCGGGGGGAAAAGTTGTTTAACGCGGTACGAGACATTGATGGTTTCGTCGCTGTAGGGTGTTACTTGCACCGCGTCTTTCGTGTACAAGTAAGAAATTTTTATATTTACTGTACGCCCAATTAAAAAGTTTTAATCGAGACGTGATGTAATGCCGATAATAATTTGATTAATATTGATTATTTGTTATATTCGTACTTTCACGGTTGACCGACAAGTTTTAAAGGATGTATTGTAACGATTAAATTAGTTATTAATTAGTGAGAAATTATATAATTAAATTAATTATTAATTATTAATTTCTTGCTTGCGAAGAGTCTCTAGATGTACAACAAGTTAATATTTATTTGCGTTTAAATACGATCATGTAGTCATTGCAATTTATTTATTATGAAGCGAATGAGAGATATGGATAAATCATAATGATGTTAAAGCCATATTGCAATCGTTATTGAAATATCCTCTATTGAACTTCATAGTCAATAAAGCGTCCACATCGGTGGCTTAATTTTCCGCATTGAACGTCAAAGATCAAAGGATGCGGCGCGCGCAAAATTAATTACGTAGCGATGTAGAAAGTATGGAAAATTTGCGAGGAACGATTATATCGGTGAATTAGGAATAAACAATTTAGTTGGAATAAAATATCGATTATATCGTGTACCGAAATATCGGAGGAATTGATTGCCGGGAATAAAGTATCGATCAATTTCTGTTTTGAAGCCACAAAAGAGATAATAAATCGACCAGTAATTTAACTTCACGTGAAATCTCGACACGCAAACAGTCACGTTCCTGGATATCTCTATCTCTCTTTTCTTCTTTTTCTTTCTTCTTTTCCGATTTGCCTATATTAAACGCGAATATATATTTGTATGTATTACGCTTCTCTTTTTAACGAAATTTTTTCAATTCAAAATAAATTCGAATTCATGCATCGCTATTTCTTGAATAAAAATTGCATACGACGTGAAACACGTTCGATAAAATATGAATTTTGCAACCACAGACTTTAGAGACATACGGAATATTTTAGCATGAGTTTTATCGCGAAGTATATATATGTATATAAAAGTAGATAGATATAAAAGAGCTTTTTTAATTTGGCGGATTTAATTGAAAATCTCGCGATTTGCGATTAAGGATTATTTCTGGTACTTCTCCTCGCGTGCAGAGAATATCACATTTACACTCGATATTATGAGACAATCGAGAGTGGCGGAACACTTCGCAAATAACAGCCGGAAGACGAATTAATCCTAAAAGTTGATTGATTGATTGATCTACGATGATACGAGCGCGATCTAATGAATCTTTTTCTAAGGACGATGTCCACTTTTGCGGAAGATCACCACTGACAGTGTCGCGACAATAAATCCCAGATAAAACTGATATATCGATTTTGAGCCGCTTAAAATGAACGAGTTGTTAAATCACATCTGCGCAATGTGAGCGACATTGCGATACTACGATTGAGAAACGATACAGGATTGATTTGTTTTGTGTTACAAGAAAAATTATAATATAGGTATTAGTTGAAAAATCATGAAATAATGATATTATGGCAAGAACATGAATATAATTTTTTGCATCTCACTACCTTTACTTACAAGATTATTATAAAATAAGAGTATAATATTAATAAAGATAACTTTTTAAAGATTTTCGAAAGAAATAAGAGATATTTTTCTGTTGGCGAAGAGAATTGTCTTATAATATAAGAGCAATAATTTTTAATATTAAACGATTATGTATCTCAATGTCAGATGTTCATCAGCTGATTAGTGATTTTGAGAATGCAGAGCAGATTGTTTGAGCGTAAAAAGATAGCTGTTTTATACGACATAATTGAGCACTCTCATATAAACATATACGAATGAAATAACACACACGAGAGAAATTCAGATATACGCAGTAGTAAAAGCCGTCGCAGACCAGACGCACGTCGATGCCGAATCGATTCTAATATTAAAGCCGCTTTATATTGATTATTGAGATTGCTTGAATCTAAATTGACATTGGCACACGTAGTACCATCGCGTATGACCGTCTGGTTCTAAATTTTACTTAATTATAACGCGTACATCTTGTGTAAACACAAGATGAGATCTAACACGCAAGTAGCGCTAAATAAACGACACGTAGCTGTTATTATTGCCGCATTTCCTTTGAGCTAGGCTAATCGCAAAACGAAATAACGTTTATTACGTTAATAGTATATTTTATAATATTGCTTCTTAATATTATATGTGGATTAACACAGTAAAAAAGTATACGGATTCGTGAACGTATGTTTGATGAAATAATCGTTACTTTGAGCAATATGTAATAAAATTCATACAAATTGTTAGTTAATTACTGTAGCGTTAATAAATTTCGACGGAAATTCCGATATTAAATTTCACGAGAATCGTAATAGGAACAATTAAATCGTTTATACCTTATGAATTCACAAATAATCGATGAGCGTGCTTTACATCTCCAATTATACGAGTTACTTGTATAACAATGTACTTGCCGAGATATATTCTCAGATTATCCATTTAATTATAATTTAACTCATACATGCATCTTTTTCTGAATTCTCCATTTACATTTATTCAATATTTTAATTTTTTAATTTACAGGTAAAATGTTATTTGTCAAAGTAATATTTCTAGTTGCGTGAATTTAAATCTTATAATTTTTCTCTCACTTTCTATAAAAATAACTCTGTGTGTTAATTTATATATATTTCCCAATTATATAAATATTTTTAGTGAATTCAAATTCTTTTTTTCGTAGAAAGCGTTTTTGGAAAAATTTTAAATTACATAATTATATATATTATGTCTGTTCATTATATATATATAATTTATTAAAAATACTTAAAAATTAAGTATGTATTACAGTGAGCGCATTATTTGCTGAATCTTCGTAAACAAAATATAATTTTTTATATATATGACATAACATATA